AACAACTTGAAATCAATAGACTAAAGAATGAAGTAGAGACTTTACGTACATTCAGAAATAACAACGGTTCTCACATAGAGAGATCAAAAAAGGTTTATTTACGGTGCCTCCTTGAAAAATATCGCTTTAAAATGTTCCAGAAATATCTACATCAACAGCAAAGCAATGGAAAACCATCGAAACTCAAATCAATTCATTTGCAAACATTACACCAGAACGGATATAAGGAAGATTGCCCGTACAGTGAACATTATCAAACAACAACCTTTATGGAACATCTCTTAGATATACTGATTACTCATGACATTGCAAAACCTGCCGAAGAAAACAAACTCATTGATTTTTCAAGGGGCTGGCCGAATAGGAATACCCCTAAGCAATACAAAAGTTTATCGGAAGAAATTCATTCAGCAAATGAATCTGATCTAAGAGATGTACTGAATGATTACACACACGTCGTCCTTTCGATTGACGAGCGACAAAATTACAAGCATATATTCCGAGAGGTGTTTCCGAAATTATGATGTGTGGGCCATTTTTCATAATCATTCTTTATTAGAATAACTCTTAAATGGCTTCATATAATCCTCAATACTAATGAAAAAGACATTGGATCACGCAAATAAACTCGGGTGCGGTTGTGGCTGTCGGTTTCATTGTGGATGTGTGGTATCGACACAGATTGTAAATGTAGGGTGTGTGCAACAAGAACATTCACATCCACACTGTTCCAGATCAAAACTGAGCCACCGGACTCTGTCCCAAACCTCCTCAATCCAAAGAATTCCGACTGTTGGATGCGATCGGATTACGGGTGTGGGTGTGGATAGGTGGGTAGGTCGGTGTGGATGTGGATATGTACTGTTGGTCGCAGGTGTGTGGGTATGGGCAGGTGGTTGTGTGGGGTGTCGTGCGTGTGGGCGTGGGTGGTTTTCTCTTTACGACACCCACATCCGTACTCCGCACACCCACACCCACATCCGTACTCCGCACACCCACACCCACACCCACTCCCCCACACCCACCCCACACTCACACCCACACCCCCCACACACCCACACCCACACCCACACCCCACATCACATCCACACCCACATCCTTCAGCCACCCACACCCACACCCTCACACGCACACCCACACCCACCCTCAATTGGAATATTCATCATAACTCACTTTATCTGAAAGTGTTCGAACAATCATTGCTAGAGTAGTTTTATTTTTAAATAAATAACACAGAAAATTATAGGTGTCTTATAGCATCCAGATAACGTTCAACATAATCTGTATTCTTTATCGAAGTAAGGATTCAAGATGCAAACGTCGGCAAATGGCTGTTTGGTGTCGTTTAAGTATCATATTGAATTCTCTTTTGTAGATCGCTGAAGGCCAGATAAATACAACAAATGTGACTAATGATGGTGTAAATGAGATAAAATAGCCGATGAGAAACAACCATGGATCTCGAAAAGATCTCATACATCCCGATAAGAATGAAATCACTAGATGTGGAACGCTACCAGTAACTAAAATAATTGGACTAAGAATGAGATGTTTCTGTTGAAAGAATTGTTCACGTAAGTATTTTCGATATGTTTGTCGTTTGTGAGCAGTCGAATGCGTTCGAGAAACTAATACAATGATCACAATAGCTGAGATCAGATTAATAATGAACGGAGTCACAAAATGAAAAATATACATTATTGAATCAAAAATTTTTATTGTAGATGTATATCGAACAATACACCAGATTCGTTGTTCTTCTTCATCATCAATTAACTGACGATGGATGGGCTCGTGTACAACACTGAGAGGAATACATAGTACACTCTAAAAAAAATCGGTTTTTTACCGAACCCCCAAAAAAGGTTCCGGAGATGTCTAAAAGCATCCAAAGATGTCCAAAGTCTCAAAAAAAGGATAAAAAAATCTACGAAACCTTTAAAGGTTCTTACCGTGTACCGAGGATAAGAACCTTTTGCTGCGAAACCTTTTTTTAAGTTCCGTACAGCAGAAAAAGGTTTCGTAGGAAAATACGAAACCATTAGAGTTTCGTATTAAACTCTACAAAATCATGAGGGTTTAGTGCAAAATCATGAGAGTTTAGTACGAAACTATTAGGGTTTAATATGAAACTCTAAAGGTTTCGTATTTTCCTACGAAACCTTTTTCTGCTGTACGGAACTTAAAAAAAGGTTTCGCAGCAAAAGGTTCTTATCCTCGGTACACGGTAAGAACCTTTAAAGGTTTCGTAGATTTTTTTATCCTTTTTTTGAGACTTTGGACATCTTTGGATGCTTTTAGACATCTCCGGAACCTTTTTTGGGGGTTCGGTAAGAAACCGATTTTTTTTAGAGTGTAATACTCCGATGATAACCAAACGAGCTGTCTCTCTACTCTTATTATAATCAAAATGAATCCCTTTCATCGCAATGAGAACTCTTTCAATAGCAACACATGCACTAAGCCAATCTCCAATGGCTGGAAGAAATCGAAGGAGATATTCGATTGAAATACAATTGATCAGAAGAACAGTTCGATTTGTAATCCAAAATAATTGTGAAAGAATCAATAGCCAAAATTTGAGTGTAAAGACAAGCGTAGAAATAAGCGAGTTTATCGACAATATCAGAAGATAAAGTCCACATCCAACTTTACAGAAATTCTTTGACTGAAAAGTCATAATGGAGAAAATGGCGTTGAGCAGACCTACAACCAATATTATCATCGTCAGAACGACACTCACTTTGATCACATTTGGTTATTGTCTGATCATAACATGTGGTCGAATTTAATATCCGAGAATAACATCCAGTGAGAGACCGAAGCCCTTGGTAGTAAACTGACATTTTCCACCATAGAAACATTCAGGACAAACACACATTGTGGATGCTGGACAAGTTACACGATCTGGAAGACATTGACCTCCATTCTTACAGATCATTCGTCCTTGGCATCGTGACGTTTTATTGAAATCGTAAGAAAAACAATTCGCATATCCATCGTGCTTGCATAGACACATAAATCCTTCATTATCGTACAAACAACTTAGTTCAGAATAGTTTCGACAAAGACCATGATAATACTTCACTCGACGTAGTAGAGGAAAGTCAAGGAATTGTTGATCGAATAGATTTTCTACGGCGGAGCAATGATGAAATAATTTCATCTCTAATTCAATGTCAACTAAACGCGAAGCGTTAACTTGCAGAAAGCCAAGATAGAATTCAGTGTCAATTTGTACTAAAATCAAATTGAACAATATTGATGTATACAGAATGATCAAGTCTTGATCGAAAGCGATCTTTTTCGCGGTTGTTGTAAGCAGAGGATCATCTTTCTCCTGTATAGTAACCAAAGTAATCAGAAAAGACCGAGGAATTTTCACATTACGAAGTGAAATCGTAATACGTGTATCTTTCACGTCACAAGTTCTTCCCGAATAGCCTGAACTGCAAATGCATGTGAAGGTACTCATCGATATTCGATCATCTTCCGGTACGCATTGACCATCGTTTTTGCATGGATTATGTTCACAAGCAGAAGGAGTCAAACATCGTGGACCAGATTTACTTGATGAACAAAGACAAATGGATCGATTATTTACTTGACCAAGACAAAGCGAGTCGATGGAGCAATGGCAACCATCTTGACGAATTGAACAATGTCGACCTGACCAACCTGGATCACAGTGACAGAAATACTCATTAGTATTTGTATAGACAGCACAACGACCATGATCCCCGCAAATAAGTTGGCAATCCTTTGGAATACCGATAGGATAAGCTGGGATGATTAAGTGTGCAGCAAGTCGATTAACAGGAAGAAACCAGAATTTTACTGGTAATACTGGGTGATCCAAAAGTTTTGCAACATTTTCAAAAAGTTAACTTTATTGATAAAAGAACAAAGTAAAAGAATAACAATATAATGTTCATAAAGCTACATCGAAGCACTAATAGAATCAACAATGTTCATTAATAACTAGTTCACCTTCATGATTTTCTACAGAATACACTCTTCGAAGGAAAGCACCAATAACTTCCCGTAGGTAACTAAAGTCAATTTTCATGACTGCTTTCCGAATTTCTCGGCGTAAATCGTTGATCGTTTTTACTTTTCTGTATTCCATTTGACTTGATATCCTATCCCAAATTGAATAATCCAATGGATTAAGCTCTGGTGAATTGGGTGGCCACTTTTGCTTTGAAATGAAAAACTTGAAGTGTTTTTTGCACCATGCCTGAGCCCGACGGTCGGTGTGAGAGCTTGCCCCGTCCTGCTGAAAGCCCCAATTTTGATGGCCAAATAACCAGTTACCTTCCTCTTTGTAAAACGGTAACAATTCTTCATAATACGTCTTACCATTTAGCCGTTCGTCGTTCGCAAAAAAATATGGTTCCGTAAGTCCGTTCCATGTTGCTCCCAATGCAACCATGATCGACACTGGAAATTTTTCCTTTTCATGAACACCACCACGTTCATTAGCATCGCACCGATTGTCAGCCCAAACAACATCATTTTTAGGATTAAAATAACCATTCCTTGTAAATATTTTTTCGTCGGTAAACATCATATTTTCCACTTTGTGGCGATTAATATTTTTTCTGATCCATATGCAACATTTTTTTCTTATTGGTTTTTGATCTTGTTTCAACTTTTGGACATTAATTTTTCGATAACATTTCTTTCCTAAATCTTCAATAAGTACTCGTCTGATGGTTGCATATGTACTTTTAAAATCATTCGCCATTGTCCGTATACTTTTTCGACGAATGTTGGAATCAAGCCGTTTTTTGACCAGATTTATAAGTCGTTTTGTTCGTCCAGTTCTTGGTCTTCCTGATTTTGATTTAACACAAATTAAGCCAGATTGTTTATAACGACGTAGCCAGCGATGTATCGTGGTTCGGTTAACCTTATTTGCCAATAATTTTGCAATTTCTGGAGCCTTTTTCCCACTTTGAAAGTGGGAAATTGCTACATTTCGGAGATCATTGCTTTTAACCATCTGAAATTTAAGAAAATAATAGTATAGAAATAGTAACCTATCAGTATGATGTGGGACATAAGTGTCTACTAAAACATGGAGAAATAAACCACGAATCTCGACAAAGAGGTAGTAGACAAAAATTTTTCAAAATGTTGCAAAACTTTTGGATCACCCGATATCCAGCTGGTATGATAATCGAGTTTCACCTTATTATAAGCGTCAATACGAATGGTGTAGTTCTTTGTCAAATTCTTTGGACGAGATCGATATAGCATATTGAGATTGTATTTCATATCACAAATGTGTGCAGAAATGTACGTCAATTGTTCGTAGGAATCAATTTCTTCATTATTATCAATTAGTGTCAGAACAATGCCGTATATTCCATGACAGATCGGAGCACATTCCTTACTAAATTGAATAGTCAGACTGATTCGTTCACTCTGATATTGACATCGATCACCGTAGTAGTTGGGAGGACATAGACAATGTTCCTGCTTATCGATTCCGACAAAGATTAGAATACCTCGATTGCAGATCCAAGCCTGACGAAAGTCGATCTTCCTAGGTAAAAATTCAATATAAATACGAGAAGTATCTCCAGTTAGGATGGGCGTAGGTTGGCGTGTCAATGATATATTCTGTCGAAAACGACTGCTATTGTCTAGCATAAAATACCTAATTACTCGATTGAGTATGCTTTCTAGAAACATATCCATGGCGAGACTTTCTAAAACATTTGCAATCTGTCGATCTTTTTGGCATTCCTCTTTCGAACGAACAGTAATCTAGACCGTTGCAACCTATGATCGTACATAATGTCGAATTCCAACATCGATAGCGCATGAATGGTATTTCTGGATACTCTTGTCGACAGTGATCTCTTTCATCAGTAGAACCAAGACAATCGATCTTACCATTTCCAGTGTCATTCATTGGCAAACAAATCACTTTGAAAGTTATAGGCGACACACATTCATGATGATCAGGGTAACATTTCGATGTGGGATTGCAATTAATTTGATCAGCCCCATTTGGACATGTCCAAGCCATATCACATTGAGTATATTGATTGTTACATGGCCATTGTTCACAATTTGTTTCATCCGTTTCGTTCTCTCTGTCAGTATGTGCAGCTGGAAGATGAGTATATCCATCGCAAAGATTTTGATAAGGCAACTTTTGCTTGTAACTATAGCGTTCGTCTTCACCATGACGGCAATGCTCCTTAGAATCACGCATTAACACAGGTGAGAGACATTTATTTTCTGATGGACATCGAAAGCGATATGGATGATTCAAATGACATGATTGAGTATAGGTTTCATCCGAACCATTGAGACAATCAGCAATACCATCGAGTAATCGATGCTTCGAAATACACTTGGTTGTATTAGGACAATGAAATAACGATCGATCAAAGCAATGCGTTTCGTTTCCACTTTCATATAATGGTGAACACATATGAAATGGTATAATCATGTAATTAATATCGATCGAACCAATATCTGTCAAATGTAAACAAGTTAAATTATTGATCTGAAAATCCGGTGGAAAAGGACATCGTTGTATATCATAGCAGACAAAGTCTGGCAATGGAATTCGTCCAAAAGAACCATAGATGATTGTTATGTTCGTCCAATATCCAAATTGTGCGTAACTTTGAATAACAGGTAACACTGGAACCATCACAAAAGTTGACTGATTGCATACTGTTTGAATTGAAATAGAACAAGGCAAAGTTTGGCTTCCACATATCGACCTTATACAGTCAACGCCATATATTCCACTTGTAATACAGGCCATCACCGTTCGACATTCTAACGTCAAAGTTGAGGAGCCTTGTGTGCCGACCAATACTGACCCAATCAATAATAACTCACGATTATTAGCACATTTTGAATGGTCTACTGCAGTTGGATTCGCTATCCAGTCTAGAGGTGACAGGTTGATATGCTGTCCATCACCACATACAAAACCTCGATAGCCAAAAAAATGATCTGATTCTTCACACCGAAATGCTGGATCTTGAAAGCATTGAGGAAATCCTCGAATTCGACGGTATTTCTGATTCTCATTGTCATTCTCATCAGTTCGATCTAAGCAATCTGGATTATAGGGACTATCATTAACAAACTGCTCAGGTATACACATACCATTATGACATCGATACTCGTTCGGCGCGCATTCGTTTATCTCTAGTTGAAAACAATGCTTTTCATCAATGCCATCGTCTAAACAATCAATTCGTCCGTCACATATCTCACGCCAATCAAGACAAAGAGGTAGTATTCCACGATTGCATTTCAGATGGATATAGCAAGTCAGATTAGTGATAGCGAATATCTCCATGGCATTGGTGCTATTTTCCTTTGCGAAAAAAGTTTTACGTACAATCTCGTTGATTGGCTCGTTCGAATCGAATGTATATTGACAAAATGGTCCAAACCATAGTGAAGTACAGTTATTAAATATTTCAGATGATAAAATTAAGTTTGAGGTATTCAAATAATATTGATAACGTTCAATAAGATCGATTGGAGCTGACCACAAGAGTAGATCTTGTGCGTTGACCTTCAGCTTTTTTAAGTCATTGAATGTGAAATTTGATGAAATGCTACTTCTTGCGATCGTCATATCTTGTTGGAATTCTGCCTCGGTCAATGGACGCATACAATAAGAAATGAGTTGATGAGGGCTTTGGAAAATATATCCAAAAGTATCATATGATGCAATGTCGTCAAGTACCTTGTAATACAAACAATCATAATACCAATCAGTGTCACTTACTGAATTGGTACGAGAGAGATAATATTGCGATTTAGTTGAAATCAACAGTGATATGAAAATCGAGAAAATAACAGAATACATCAGCATGATGCCTAATTACTACTGAATTCACTCTGATCGTCTATCTCTGTATGAAAAGAATTCTATCAGAGATGACACTGTGTTGAACGTTATTGGATCTTCTGTCAACAGATGCAGACACGTTCTGTCGATAAGCATGCATGTAAAACCTATAGGATGAAACATGAATCGAGCATATATATTTGAGAAACAGATCGTGTCAGAAGCACGTCATTAATCTTATTCAACACTGAAAATACAGTACTCATTACAAGAAACGTTTTTTTAAAAGAATTGCTCAGAAATGTGATTAAAACGCATAGCCATACATCGTTCGGTAATCGAACAAGGGTGTAGGTGTGGGTGGAAAGTACAAACAGACATCCACACCGACACTAACACCCACACTGACGCCCCACACCCACACCCACACTCTCGACTAGCAATCAATATTATTGAATGCTTGTTATGATATAGTACAGACACTTTGTATATTGCTCATGATATAGTGAATTAAATTATTGTCATCTGCTTTATTATGGAAGAAGAAAACAAACAATCTTCAATTTTTAAAAATCACAAAATTGATCGATTCAAAAAGACAAAAAGCTTGAGGATCTTTCTTAATTTTCTCACAGAATAATTAAATCTTTTGAAATTTTGTCATTTTTATGATTTTTAAAAATTGCAGATTGTTTGTTTTCTTGTTCCATAATAAAGCAGATGATAATAATTTAATTCATTCACTATATTATGAACAATATACAGTATCTGCACTATTATGGAAGAAAAACACAATACTGTGGATAAAATTTTCAGCTTTCATTTTCCTTTCTTTATTTCTTTCTTCTATTTAACTGCATTGTCTATTTATTTCTATATATATATGTATACTGTATGTTTTGTACTTTAGGCCTATGTAACTATATAGGTATAATTGTCTCTTGTTCAAATATAAATAAAATACAAAAAAGTGGCAAAATACTTTTGTCGTCTACTGTATTAGTCGATGCAGTGATGTTTTCGACATGAGTAAAAGAATGACAACAAGCATCAATCTCGCGCAAAGTCAGTAGTTCGTTGCAATCAGAAATGCTTATGGGCAATACAAGATTAACAAGTAACGCGACGCAAACGTCGCTAACCCTCTACTGAAAGGATGTGATTTCGTTGAACATATGGTACTCCCGAAGAAGAAGATCACAGAACTAATATGCTGCTATGCATCTATAAAAAGATAAATAGTTCTCATCACCATGGCTCGCTTGCTAATTGATTGGGTTTGATTTAACCATTGTGGGGTGTGGGTTGGTGGGTGAGTGTGGGGTGTGTCTGAGTATGGATGAAGTGAAGACACATGCCCACACTCATACCCCACACCCATACACACAACCCATACCCACACGTCCCACACACCCACGCGCATCCACACCCCAAGATGGTTAAATCAAACCCAATCAATTAGCAAGCGAGTCATGGTGACGAGAACTATTTATCTTTTTATAGATGCATAGCAGCATATTAGTTCTGTGATCTTCTTCTTCGTGAGTACCATATGTTCAAGGAAATCACATCCTTTCAGTAGAGGGTTAGCGACGTATGCGTCGCGTTACTTGTCGTTTTATTTCGAACAAGGATCATTTTAAGAATTGAATTCTTTTACCTGCTTGTAATAAGTTATCAAATCAATTAAGATATGTATGAAAATGTTTAAATAAGTACAATGATTTTTATGCAGCGGTAGACCTTCAATTGCTGATTATAAAAAGAAGTCCAACACGAAATTTTGTTAGAAGTCAATTAGATACTTAAATCATATAATAGCTGTATATATTGTTTTTCCAACTAAGCTCTTTTAAAAAGTTATCATAATGTTTAAATTGTGACATGAAGTACTGCTGCAAACAAAAGGTTGTTACAAAACAATTAGCTACTTAATCATCAAGTAGCTGTATATTATTCGAAAAAGTATTTCGTTTGAGAAGCTACGGTTTCAACATGATTATATTTCTAAACATTCTTCATCGCTTCAAATAGTAGCATCGGTTAATCAATTTTTGCAT